ATGTTATGCAATGCAATGCACTGCGTCTATGCATGGATTTTTGGTTCATCAAAGGAAAAAGGCCCTGAAAGAGGCGAGATGCCCTCATCACTGATGTTAGGGACAAGTAAGGCAAAGTTCAAGGAATGGCAAAGAGGGGCTCTCTCCCCCCTTCCCGTCTCCATTTCTCGCTACCAACTAACACATGTCACGAAATCTAGAAGGGTAACACAGAAGTGGCGAATAACAACAAAGAATGAAACGAAAGAGAGGCCCTGGCATCTCGCGGTAGACTCCATCTTTGCCTTTCCCCAAGCTCCCGAATCCCCATGCCCTGTCGTCCCAAGAAAAGGGGGGCCCAACAGAACGCGCAAACAATAAGTGGCTGATCCAGATCGAACCACGTCTCAACGTGCGATATGTCAGCCACTCAGGAGAGCCGTCAGACCACACTTGCAGGGCTTGCAGCACGCTCGCTTTTTCCCTGGTCGTACAATAAACAAATAATAATCGAGAAGGGTGTAAGAGAAAAAAGAGTCGAGAACACAAAGGAGAAATGGAGAAAAGGAAAAAGACGCGTAAAAACCCAATGCCCATGCGCATGCAACCATCCACACACCTTGGCCACTGGGTCCAGCTCTTGTCGGCTCTGCCCTGTCCCTTGCCTTCCCTCTCACCCTCATAGTGCTTCTAGAGCCTTCGCAATCCGCTCCGGTCCTATTCCGTGTCCTCCCATCTTGGTATTGGCATCCGCCAGTGGTTTTCGCCCCACTGGCACCGGCGCATCCCAGCTCCTACCTCCTTCGGGGGAATCGTCCTCTGAGACTTCGCTGGGCGGCGTCGAGCTCTCCGAATCCGTCAAGATCTGGTACTCGGTCACGGTGCTTTCGAAGTCGGGCAGCTCTGCGTCTTTAGCTTGCTGCACCCAGAGCTTCTCGGCCCTTTGCAGCTGGTCGAACCATTCCGACACGGTCATCTCTTTGCCACGACAAGTGAGGACCAGGTCTCCGTACTGCGACAACCCGGCTCGCGACGCTTTATGCTTCCAATCTGGGTGCGCGTCTTCCACCAGGTAGCGCCGTTCAGCGGATACCGCGTTCATATAGTTGAAAAATGCACTTTCGGAATCTAGAACAGATCCATCCCGTGTCAGCCTGAAACTCCAAGGCGTCCCTTTGGCGCTGTTGACAGATCTGACAGGTGGACATGGAGGAGGGGAACAAGAGCTTCGCGGTCAGGCAGAAGGCATGGTAGACTTACACGACCCCGGCATGCCCGGCAGAGGAAGCAGTCGGTCAAAGCGCTCGTCCAGAAGTTCTTGCAATCTGAGGTACGAGGCATAGACAATGGAAGTAGATTCTTGTAAAGTCCAGAGAGCATCTTGGACGGCCTCGGGCAGTTGCATCAACATCGAGGCTGGCAGTGCCGCCACATGGGAGACATCGCTGGGATTATGTGAATGGGGAGGCTCAAGAAAGAGCATGTCGGCAATAATTGAAGTGGGCGTCATGGTGACCGTGAGTGAGGAGTCAAGAATGGCTGTGCCAAAGACCCAAAAGCCTTGTACGGTTGGGTGGAGTTGAGGACTCGAGAGCCAGAGAGTGAGACAGTGAGGGAGGAAGTTGGACGTCGAAGAGGGGAGGATTAAACTTGAAGAGCATCCAGGTCAGTATATATGCATCACGGCTTCGCAGCACGTTTTAGACGCCGGTGGAGCGAGTACTTGAACAGTATAGTCAGATCAGGCCACGGAGATTTTTATATGCGCCATGCATTCAGCCCATATAGAGCCATGACAGACTGGGTAGTGGTCCAAGAACTGGCTGTTGTGATTGGACCGGAAGCTTGCATGGCGAGGTGGGAAACTCCATATCGTCAAAAACGCCCGAGAAGCCAACTGAATGTGCTCAAAAGAATCATTCCTCCTAGCCTGCATTGGCTGAAGACAAGGACTCAACTAATGTGACGTATGTCAGTGATACAACAAAGAATCACGTTTCCTTTCTTTCTCAGAGCCTGATCTTGGCCATGGACGGATGTTGGAGCGCGCATCAATCAACTCGTGACCTTTTTCCTCAGACATCTCCGATCCAGTATGGAGTACGTTGACAGAGTGCCACCACAATTCCATCCACACCTGGGAAGCTGATCCGCAAGAGCACCGCGTGGGCCTTGGGCGAAATCCATCTGAAGAAAAAGCACAATGTGACGCCGATTCTATTCAACTTTTCCTGCGGATAAAGAGAGCCGTGAAAATCGCAAGGTCGCATTGAGTGGGGTTGACGCTGTGTCCCTCCGTCATGGTCATATCTTCCACAAAGCCGCCCAAAACCACCAGGGTGAGTTCTCGACGCTGTCTGAAAAGATAATGCGTCGACGGGAGAACACGTTGCAACGTGCCTTTGAACGTCGATTTCACGATTTACTGGATTCTACTCGATGGATCAGCGATCACACAGCAAGCGATTGCAACCGACCAACAACACATACCGTTGGATGAGGTGCACGCCGGAAGCAGTCTCGATGACGCCACTCAATTCACCAGGTTGCAGGGCAAATGCTGCATCCTCAAACTCCTTCTGCATCTGTCCTTTGCCGAAGAAACCCAGGTCGCCACGCTTCCGAGCACTGCTGCAGTCCGACTCGGAGACAGCGAGGTCGCCCAGGGTCTTCTCGCCGGAGCGGATCTGCTCTTCGTAACCCTTCAACATTTGGATCGCATCTTCCTTTGACCGGGTGATATTCGTCTCTCTCCAACTCGAGGGACGCCGGCTATCCTTGTGCTTGACCAGAAGATGGGCTGCACGGATCTTGCCTTCACTGGCAGCCCCATCAATGCGGGCATTGGCGGATGAGCTGTGGTGTTGGGCCATGTAGATCTTGAGTTTGTCCGTGTCGGCATTCTCGGGCGGTTCCCATCTTGATTCGTGCGTCTTCTGATTGAAGTAGTACGGCAGGTTCTTGGAATTGGAGTGGCGGACCTCCCAGTCAGGGGGCAGTCCAGTATCGGTCTCAGTCTGTTCGAAAGAGTATCAGTAGATATTCATTTTCGCTGGTGCAGGGTTTGGCGTGAGTGTAACTCGCGTACCATGGCTTTCTAAAGCAACCCGGCTGATGCAGCACCGTTCTTAGGAGGAGATTTTTGTCACGGAGTGATCCTGTAGATGAAAGTACTGAAGGGAAGATGATTTCTTGTTGAGATGCCCCGGTTGGTGTTGAGCGCCTGCTATTCAAAGCGCGACCGAGGTGGGGCAGCGGGTTCGTCGTTCGTCAGCAGGTCAATAATGTCAACGAAGTGCTGGGCTGGTAAGGGAGGGTAACATAGGGCTGGAAGTGGCTGATGGGCAGGAACAAGAGCCTGACTGGTTAGTCTCATGCGGTCTGGACGGTCATCGGTTCACTGGTTGAGCCCGTACATGCGTGGGTTGTGGAGGTGAAAGTGTAAGAAGGTCAGAGGTCATTAGACCAGCATTTAAGAGTTATTCAGGTACTAGGATCCCGTACCTAAGTTAACAAGGAACCCACCAGACACAGTCACCTGGGATGGCCACACACAGTGGATCTTTGTTTGGGGGAAGACACTCTAACTTTTGGCTAGGTAGACAAGGTAGGCTAGGTAACTGTACTCGGTACAAGTACCTCTTACGGAGCACCGTGACTGCGAGGCAAATTGCGGGGAGCAAGAATTCGTGCCCTTTCGTACTCACCACTTCTTCGACAACATCGCCAGCACCATCTTGCTATCTGAACGCGTCGAGTCGCTTTGACATCGTGTTAATACGATAGCAGTAATTTATTACACGCTCCAGCAGTTACGCCCTTCTACTCGTTTTGTCTGCACAACCACCCAGCAAGATCATCCCTCCGCCTGAAGAGCACCTGGTTATCCGACAGTCACCAAAGTCAGCACCCACCAGCGTGCATTCGCCCTGAAGAGTCGCTTTCAGGAAGGCGTCCTCAGACTGCTCTACTCCCCAAGTGTACCTCTCCAATTTCACGTATTCAACATGTCTGGTGCCGCCTCTCCATCTCCGAGCGAGGGTGAGAGCAAGCGTGGCGAGGTCTCTTACAGATTTTGTCAAGAATGGTAAGCATCCAAAGTTACCTCATGTTATGTTTCTAACCTGGTTACCCCAGTTCGAACCTTCTGTACCCAAAGGAAGACCGTGCGACATCAACCCTCCTCTATATTTGCAAAGCATGCCACGCCACTTCGCAGCACGACTCTGCATGTACCTACCGCCAACAACTTGGTGCCAATGTTCAAGAGACTGCCGGAACAACCGCTGATGTTGCACACGATCCAACGGTGGGTTCTGCTATCTCTGAGCTGCCACCTCTCTGCACCCTTTGTGGGGACCCGTTGAGATGCAACACATGTGGCGCCATCTAGCAGGCCAGGCTCTGGGGAGTTCAGAAGACTTTTGAATCAGGTCTCTTGAGTTCTCCTCTTCTCCCCGAGTCTAGTCTGAGGTTCTGAGACACTTGACTGACGGCTTGCTTTACATTTTGTACAGCTTCCTCGCGCACCCAAAAAATGCCCAAAATGCCGGGAGACGGAAGCAGTTTATTTTCAATCGCAGCAGCGTGCCGCAGATACGGGGATGGTGAGTCCTTGTCTCGTGACCCTCAGCCTGAGCATTCTAACTGGAACCCAGAAACTGTACTATGTTTGCACCTCCTGCAATCATGTCTATACTGTCGTTTGAGCGAGGTGTTTATGGCAGGCTTTGGTATATCATGGTTGTGATACCCATACACTAGAGGCGCATTCCTAAACAACGACTTGAGACGAATTTTATGAGAGCTGAAAGGATAGGACGAGACCCAAAAAGAATTCGGGGTTTATTAGGTTGGCCAGGAGCGCAATTCGCGCACAAGAGTGCATAACACGCATCGAGTGTGTTGGTCTAGAATTTTTTATTCCGTCAACTGTTTGTACAAGAATTCTTATCAGACCCAGCAATGGGCAATCCGTCTTCCACCTTGCGCAAGCATACAGTATTGCTCAGTCGTTGGAATTATACGTGCATCGGCGCCAGCGACAAGATCTTTGACCACTTTTTATCCCGTAGTTCTGCCCCCACGATACTTGATAACCTCGTCCCAATCGGATCCCCGTTCTTGTTGATGAGGACACAGGCATTGTCGTCGAAGCGTATCAGACTCCCATCTTTCCTGCGCTCCTCCTTCCTCGCTCTCACAACCACTGCGTGTCGGATGTCACCTCTTCGTACTTTGTTCGCAATACTCAAACTCGATCCGCCGGGGGTTTCTGCGCCGAAAGACTTTTGTTTCTGAACAACGACGATAATCCTGTCACCTGAGGGCGGAGAGTAATCAGCGAGATGGGAACTCGGTGATTCGGAGGCTCTTCACTGTACCTATTCTCGCAGCCTGCTTCTTTTTCCTCATGACAGCGACACACTCGACAATGGCAGCTCCGGAGTTGTCGATGCAGTTAAGCATCGTCTAGCATGAATCATCATCAGCATGAGACACAGGCATCGTGGCCAGCTTATGGAAATACCCACCTTCAATTGTATCATCGTGGCAGCATAATGCGCGCTATCGTTAAAGAGGACACAGGATGGCAAGTGTAGTTTGCAACTCGCAAAGCGAAGAATGAGTCTAGCTGCAGATAAATTATGAAGTGGATAGAGATTCAATTGGGTCCCCAGGTGGGTGCCAGGTGAAGATGTGCATGGGTGGCCGATGGGCGCATGGTTTTCCGTGGCCGATCGAGACGAAGACACGGCACGCCAACCAAACAGAGAGGTCGCTTACCCTTATTTCGTTAAGCTCGTCAACCCTCCTGGCCTCCGTGGTCGCTCCAGCCGCCGCCGCCGACGTTCCACCCCCTCTCTAAGGCCTCGAAAAGTCACCCTTCCATCGCCTTGGACTTGCCTTCCCTCTTTCATAAAGTGAAGCAAGCTGAAAGTCTCTCTCTCTATTTCTCCAGCTTTAGGAGACAAATCATGCACAATTAAGGTGCCTAATTTATCGGACCATTATGTCACTACGTGTACACATTCTCTTTACCATTGTTCCGCTCATTTTAGCCTCACTCAGGCTGGCCTGATTCCAGACCGCGTTCCAGTGGTCAATTGTTGATTCAGCCCCTTCCACTCCTTCCAAACCACCCTCAGCTGAACAACATACCATTCCCCGTTATCTTGCTCCCTCCACCTTTCATATTGTTGTTTGTTAATGACATATACCACGTCTCTGTTGTTGAGTGCCCTCTGTACACGCGACAATGGCTCGGGGAAAGGGCGCGGCAGAACCCGAAAAGAGCCAGCGGCTTTCCCTTGCTGAGCTGGCCGCTCATGACGATGTGTGCTCAGATGTCATGATAGATAATGTCCGTTGCACTATATGTCATGAGGAGACTGTCGCGCTGACACGGAGCAGGCTTATTACAAGGCAAGAATCCGAAAGAATCGCACTAAACACATCCCAATCCGCGGTATCAAGGAAGACGAAGTCCCTCAAATTCTACTACACAAGGTCATTGTCGACAAAGATGTGGACGCGGCGGAGAAGGCCCTTCTCGCGCTCCCTGGGTTGAAGAGGTATAGAAAGAGCTTGCGCAGCAAAACCGAACAGGAACATTTTTTGCGTCACCTGAGAAAATACATAGAGATGTACCAGACTGATTGCGCTTGGGAAGTCTCTACAACCAATCGGTACACCATTACCACTTACGAGGCTGCGGTCACAGCAAGGAGACGGATTCGACAGGGAGATACCATCAAATATCTCACTGGCACACTGGTCCCTTTGACCACTGAAGAATCAGCCGACTTGGACCTGACGAACCGCAATTTCAGCATAGTCGTTTCTAGTCGCAAGAAAAACTCATCCATCTTTTTGGGTCCTGCTCGCTTCGCCAATCATGATTGCGACGCAAACGGACGCCTTGTGACGCGTGGAGAAAACGGGATGGAAGTGGTTGCCATGAAAAATATTGAGGTCGGCGACGAAATTACCGTCTCATATGGCGATGACTACTTTGGGCCGGGCAACATTGACTGTCTGTGCCATACCTGTGAACAACTCGAGCGAAATGGCTGGACATCCAAGGCTGGCATTCTGGATACTCCCAGTCGCACCTCCACTCCAGTCCATGAACCTCAATCAGTGGTCCAATCTCGTGGCTTAAAGCGGAAAAGAGATTCGAACCCTTCACAGTCTTCTTCCGTACCACCTCCGTCGAAGCATGCCAAAGGCGTGCAGTCCCCATCTAAGTTGCAGCATTCTTGGACCCCTTCAGACAGTTCAGATGCAGAAACGCCCTTGCTTCCAGTTGAGCGAAACTCCGAACCGATCGAGGATCTGCGGACCGTTGCTTCTGAGACAGGCGCAGCACTCTCGCCACCTCGAAGTCCATTGCAACCCGAAACGCGCGGGTCCGGAGAGTTCTTCACTCCAGTGGGTATAGAATCATCTGCTCCGGTAAATGGTGTGGACCATGGTTCTGAGCAGCAGGAGCAGTCGCCGGGCTTGTCGCAAACATACACAAATTCTAGTGCAAGCAGGAAGAATGCCAACCTTCTAGGCAAGATATGCTCACGTGCTCCATTATCCCCGGCACCGACTTCTCCTTCAAGCCATGGTTCTGCAACTGAGGCGGGCCAGTCACGCATACCGATCCCCCAACCTCATGATCCCGATACTGTTGTCACGGTAAAGGTCGAAACTGTCCAGACAACGAAAGTGGAGGAGGATGAGGAGGCTTATTATGACGACGAGGATACAGTCGTCATGATTGAGTCTAAGCCAGAATCTGCGCAAACCACTGGAAGCCTCCGGCAACCGCAGGATCGGCCAAAAAAGCCGAGCATGATCACCGAGAACAACTCTTCTGTTATTCCTCATACCGTTTCGATTCTATCAACTACGACAGTCAGTAAAGAGGTGCGCCCTGTTGAATCACCCGTTGTCGCAGCCACGGAAACCAGTGTGCTACCATCCATTGAGCCCGTAACTGTCTCAACAACAGTCAGTACTTTGACGGTCCATCCGGTGACTGGAACCATCCGCATTGCGGGCGATTACATCCTCACTAGAAAATTACTTGCCCAGCCTCATGATCGTTGGGTACAGTGCCACAACCACAAATGTCTTGGGTTCTTCATCCAACCTAACGGATACCAGACGAGACGTGAATGCCCGCGGTGCGAGCGTCACAGTATGCTCTATGGATTTCCTTGGCCGAAGACTGATCCAGATCCTCGAAAGTTGCTTGAGCGCAAGTCTCAGGGAACTGGCCGCGGCAAGAAGAACAATGTGCCGGCCACCGAGTACAGTGCATACAGACGCAAAGGGAGATGTGGAAAAGGGACATGGGTGGAAGGTGGAGGAGACCCGGAGGAACGGGTCATGGACCATCGCACCATCCATCGCTTCGTGTTGCCCGAAGAAGAGAGGGAGCTGACCCGGAAGGGCTTACTGAAAGAAGCTGAAATTGCTCGCGCAGCGGGAGACCACGCCTTGGCTATTTTGGAGGCGAGGATGCGCGCAAACTCCAGCTCTCGCGCCCTGAACCACGGAACAGCAACGGAAAGTGCTACCAGAGATGTTAGCGAAAGTGGGAGTGCTACCCCTGATGAGCTGAGGAGGAGAAGTAACAGGTTCGTCACGCGGCCTGTAGGCGTCTACACGGACAAATTCTAGGGGAAAATGTGGGGACGTGTGCCCGGGTAAAGTGGATGTAAGAAGTGATACCTACGCCGTGACTGTTGTGGCTTCCTGCCAGAAAGACCGCAGAATACATCAGGTCACAAGCACCAGGTTATGCCGGGAGGCTGTGGCTATGTTTCGTCGCGGGCAGGCAGGATTGGTCTGTACCCAGACAGCAGAGAGGAGGATTTGTACATGATGTCGCTGTGCCAGAGTTCCCTGGGAATCTTGGCTATCCATTTCTTGAGGGACGTTATGAGCAAACCCATGCCACCGTTCGCAGTCAATGAATCTGTCAAGTCGACATGGCTTGCCTACAGGAAATTCACGTTGAAAATGATGACGCACAGTGCTTAAAGACACCATGCATGGAACATTTCCACGTACAATAACAAGAGGAGCCGATAATGATCCCAGGCTGATAACGACCACGAAAATAGTTCCTGGATCTTGGGACCTTATATCTGCGTCGGGTCGTTTAACATGCCTCAAGCATGATGGTAAACCTCCAACCAAATCATTGATGGAATTCTCGGGCAGGTATCCATTAGTGGTACCCGTATAGTGAGCAATCCACAAGGCAGAATGGAAAATGGACCAAAGTCTTCCGCTGCTGGTAGTTCTTGAAAAGGACAGGCAGAAGCATTGCCAATAAGGACTCCCTCAAACACAAGATTGCCCCCACAATGTCTAGATTCTTCAATGTAGGGAGTGACTATCTAACAGTACCTGCACGATAGAAATAGATCGGTCCTGCTAGCGAAAAAAGACTCCCCTCGGGAATGATTCATTTGGGCACCGTATGATGATGAAGAAGCCATGGAGACAAAGCAGTTCATGATAAGGATTGAGTGCCGTGCATTGCTACTGTTTAATGCAGTGAGAGGTGATCCGAAGATCCATGAATTGATGTCACTGAGATACTGCAACGATGAAAACAAGTCCAGCAAACCTTACATATCTCTGCATTTTCTAACATTGAAACACGAGAAGACGAAACAAGATTGTTGGAGGCGGAGAAAAATTATATCGCATCTCGGAAGACTTGCTCTTCTAAGTTTCTCGATCCTCATTTGCTCCCCCGAACTTTTTCCAACCAGGGCGAAATTTGGTCAATAGAGCTCTCACCGAACAGCATATTTAGTCAGTGGGAGGAATCTAGAAGATGGCTCCTCGATCAAGAGGTGCAAAGCGTGTGGCAGATGCCTTCGGTACGCCCATTCTACTCCAACATTGATGATGGCAGAGCTGACACTTCCCTATAGCATCTCCATCGCTCCACCAAGTCTGTTCTTCTTGTCTCCAGACTCTGTCCAAACGGCATTACGCTTCTGCGGCCACTGCCCAAGCAAACCTTGGATCTCAGTCATCTCCGTCTATCACTCAGCTTTCCCCATCAGGGCCTGAGGCGTCCTTGTCACCACAACCGGTCTACACAATCAAAGCCGGGATCGTCCTTTCCCGCCCACCCCTAATCACACCAGACCCTCATCCCTTCGAAACAGCATTTCATCTCTATCAACGCCGTCTCAATGAGCGCCTCGTCTTACCCTTCACGCAGTACTTCTACTACCGCCGTAATACACCTGCATTTGAACAGTGGCGCAAACACCGCCGCGAGCGAGGCGGTGCTGCAACGCGCGACATCGGAAAATACAACGCGTATAGCCCTGAGGCGTGGAACGATGAAGTGCTTGTGGGGGACGAGACCGGGAAACCGGAGAAGATACTAGAGCAACTCATCACCGAGGAGGGCAGAGCTGACGAATTTACTGGACAAGGGGATCCCAAGTTCGCGGGTTTGAGGCGGGTTACAGGCGCGGATGAGAGCAACGATCAGAGGAGCCTCGAAAGAAGGTTACAG